TTCCCTGGGAAGACCACTCTCCCGCTCCCAGCTTTCCTCAGCTGCCTGTAGTTCTCTGTGTAGAGCTGAGGCCTCCTGGACTTTTCTCCATGCAGCTGGAATGTTCACAGCTGTCCTCCTCTTCAGCCCATGTTTGGGCAGTTGTGTTGATGAGACTTTATGGGTGTAGTTAGTAGGACTTTCTTGTCAGACTTTCTTGGAACAACAGCCACCAAATAATTACACAGACTTACTATTAATTATGAAAGCTTGGCCTTTAGCTTAGGTTTGTTCCCAATTAGCTCTGATAACTTAAATTAACCTGTTTCTCTTCATCTATGATCTGCCACATGGCTTTTTACGTCTCTTCCATTCTGTATGTCTGACTTGCTCAGTGTCTCTCTAGTGTCTCTTGCACACCAAGATTCATAACTCTGAGTTCCTCTCTCTACCCAGAAGTCCATCCTACTCTCTTCTGCCTAGCTGTTGGTCACTCAACCTTCATCAAACCAATCAGAAGGCACCTTTAACACAGTCTGATCAAACATCCTGCAATATTACAACACACTCCCTGATCCTCTTCCTCTTACACTCGTTCTAATCACTTGGTCTTCCACAGTGTTCCCTGAGCCTTGGAAGAGAAAGAATTTTGTAGATGCTTCCATTGGAACTGTGTCCCCAAACTGCATTCTAATTGGTTGTGGTTTTCTGCAATGGTCTCTATCCATTGCAAAGAGACGTTTCCTTGATGAGAGGTGGACTACACTTATGGGTGTAAGTGGGACTACACTTATGGGTGTAAGTGGGACTACACTTATGGGACTTACACTATGGGACTTACACTACAGTGTAAGGACAAGTGTTTACCGGGTGTTGTTAAGGATTATGCTGCTTTAGTAAATTAGAGTTATAGGTTCCCCTCCAATAACCGTGGCTTCAATAGCAGTGGTTAGTTATCTAGATTTCCAGTACCAAGCTCAACTAGAGACTGCCTTAGTTAGGATTTCTATTGCTGTGAAGAGACACCATGACCATGGCAACTCTTATAATTGAAAAGCATTTAATTGGGTGGCTCACAGTTCAGAGGTTTGGTCCATTATCATCATAGTGGGACACGGCAGCATGCAGTCAGACATTTTCTAGAGAAGTAGCTGAGAGTTCTGCATCTTGTATAGGCAACAGGAAGTGGTCTGTCTCTTGGGTGTGCCTTGAGCATACATGAGGCCTCAAAGGCCACCTGCACAGTGACACACTTCCTCCAACAAGACCACACCTACCCCAACAAGTCCACACCACCTAATAATGTCAATTCCTTTGAGGGCCATTTTCTCTCAAACCACCACAGTTACTGCCAGGGCTTGTGTGCCACTACTTCACCCACAGGGCTACTGGACAGGTCATCACCGATGTGGTTCATGATGTCATTGCTAAGGAGGACTGTTGTGTCTCTCTCCTTTGGAAGCTTTCATGTGTCTTCTAGTACCAGGAAAGATAGTCCTCAGGGCAGGAGGAGGGGGCATCCAAGTCAGTGACAGCTCAGGGGCCTCTGGGCCCTGTGTCTGAAGTGTGTGGTGTCTTCAGCAAAGGGGAATTACCTTCCACCTCCAGGGGATAACTAAGGGCAATAGAAATAGGCTGTATGTTTTAGGAGTCTCTTAGACAGCCCTGGCAACAACTCACAAGAGGGCTTCTCATATCTGGTATTTGTTTTTGTTTTTTTGGTAGGTGGTCTTTGGGAGTTCCATCAGCCCAGATGAGAAATGTTCATTAAACTACATATGTATACGTATACACTGAATTGTGGGCATTAGAGGTTTTATTGTTTTAAGCAATAGTTGAGGGTGTGACTCCTTCAGGCTTTTTCATCCATCTATATTGTTATTTTATGTGCTTCTCTCCGTCTCCTGTATTTACCTCCCTCCCCTTTCCTAAGGAAAACCCCTTTCCTCCTATCAAATCAATTTAATCCTAAAACTATGGAATACTTCACCAATTCGTATGTCATCCTTGCACAGGGGCCATGCTAATCTTCTCTGTATCACTCCAGGTTTAGTATATGTGCTGCCAAAGCGAGTTAACTTTAATACTCCATTCCCATCAATAGACAAGTCAACAGACTTCAGAGTCAAACTGTGCCATTGATCAAATGGACTCACAAGACTTCAACAGAATATTCTATACAATCACTGAAGTCACATCCTCCTCAGCAGCTCATGGGTCTTTTGCCAAGACAGAAATCATTTTAAGCTGTAAAAATCATTTTAACCTGTAAAGCAAGGTTTAACAAATAAAAAGGTAATTTTTTATCCTACCAGATCATAATATTAATAGATGGAGAAGTCTTTGATAAACTAAACTCATTCTTAATTACAGCCCTGAACAAACCAGGAAGACAATGCTCACACCTGCACACAATAAAGGCCACTGTGATTCAGCATTATACTAAATAGGGAATGACAAGATAGTTCCTCTAAATGTATGTTAGAGCCAAGGGCAACCATTCCCTCCCTCAACTATTATTTAATACAGAGCTTGAATCCTCAAAGAATTAAGATGAGGGAGAGAGAGAGAGAGAGAGAGAGAGAGAGAGAGAGAGAGAGAGAGAGAGAGAGAGATACAATCAGGAAAGGAAGATGTCAAATTACCCCATTTGTGGATAAATGTTTCTATGTTTAAAATCCCACCAGGCTGACAGAGCACTTTCCTAGCATATGGAAGGCTCTGGATTTGATCCTCTGAACTACATACCAAGAAAAAGGCTCTGAAAACCATCTAGGGTCCAGCAAGATGTCGTTGCAGGTAAACGTGCTGGTTGCACAGACTGGAGATCTGAATTTAATCCAAGAATACCATGGAAAGGGGAACACAGTGGCATGCCTTTGGAATCCCAACACAGGGGAATCACCTGGAAGCTGAAGGGCGAGATAACCTGGAGGACCCAGCATGGAAGGAAGTACAGGGGAGATCTCATCACAAGTTGGAAGAAAAGAACTGACTCTCAAAAGTTATGCTGTGATCTCCACACACAGTGTAACACACACACACACACACACACACACACACACACACACACACACACTGAAAAGACCAAGAGAAGCTGTGGTAAAGCATCTCTGGATTTAAATAAGCAAGTTATGTTATGGAAATATGCTTGTACACCTCTGAATATACCCATAGACACAGAAGTGTGTACTGTAAATTGGTGAGGAGTATGATGTTAATTGTTCTACAATAAAGCCATTCCTCAAGAGAAAAAGTGTGAAGCCAAAGTCATCTAGACTATTAATTTTTATTTCACATCCTGAAGTGAGCTGGGCAATAATCTTTGTGGAGAAGAAATTTTAATTTTCTACGTACGAATGTAGCTTGTGTGTGTGTGTTTGTGTGTGCATGCGTGTGTGTGTGTGTGTGTGTGTGTGTGTGTTTGTGCATGCGTGTAGAAAGTAGGCTTTACAGTTCTTTGATTTTCATAATCCATCTTAATCCTAATGAATTTCCTCAAGCAGATGATTCTGAGCCTTCCTATTTTACAAGGTTTTCAAATATAACCAAACTTAAAAAAAAAAGAGTCAACAGAATGTCTGGAGTGTCAGGAAAACTGCCCTGAGCTGATCATACACTGTGTTCAAATGCACTGAAACGTCACATGGTGCTCCCAAATATATACAATGTGGCTATAAGGTAAGTATTTACCAAATACTTGAAGAACATGAAATTCACATAACCCATATAAAATCTTGGTTTGTCTTTAAGTAAGACCTGTTTGTTCATCAAGGATTTCTGTGACAGGGTAAGGAACATGACATCTACAGTTTCCCTTAACATGGGCTCTGCTGCTGGCATTATGGGATGGTTCTAGGCACAGCCTTCCTTTGAGTCTCCTCAACATCCCAGATTAACACACACAAGAGATAGTCCCTCAAAGGCAAAGGCAGGAGAAGCTTCTCTGAAAAGTCACTATGTTTCCCCTTCTTGTTCCTGAGCTGTGAGACTGACGGGCCCCCTCTTGTTATGGTCCCAAGAATTCAACTTAGGTCCTGCTCCTGCAGAGGAGCTGGATTCCATTCCCAGCTTCCACATGGGGACTTCCAACTGTCTGCCACTCCAGTTCCAGGGGATCCAGTGCCCTCTCTGGCCTCCAGGGGCACCAGGTATGCAAGCAGTGCACTTACGTACATGCAAGCAAAACACTCATACACAGTAAATAAAAATGTACTCAATTCAGCTTTGAGGGCCCCTAAATGTATTTGTCGATTCCGATGTTCTTTCTCACAACAATTCTCCATTCTAGTTTGTATTTTATTTCCTCTCATCCTTCCAAATGCTCCACAGATCCTTAGACACAGTTATGTGCAGAAAAGATTCTGCATGTGTGCGCATTTTAACACAGGTTTATTAAAGAGAATGCGCTGTTGGAGAGGCCTGTGTTAATACCATAGGAAGGGCTCTTCTGTGCAAATGCCCAGGCCTGGACACATGGTGCTCAATAAATATGTGTCACCATTAAACTTTCTGTGTTTCTAAAACTAGACTAGCGATTACATCTCTAGTATTACACAAGAAAAAAAAAGAAGACAGCATTATAGATAGAAACACAGTCACTGAAAGGTTTACAATCTGGTTATTTTGGTCTTTAAATTTTCTGTCTGTTCAAACTTTTTCCAAACTATCTGAGTAAGAGTTGTAGGAAGCTGGTGACTATCTGTATAGCAAACTAGAGATTTTTGGACAAATTTTAAATTGTGAGATAAAGAAAAAGAATAAATTGTTCCGGTTCCTTAAGTACCAGTGTTAACAAATTCCTTTTACATTTGTGGTAAATTCACTGCTTGACAAAACTTTACCCACCTAACATCAACTTTATTTACCTTCACACATTTGGAGATCAAAGGTTGTACATCCTCAACCCACCGCTGTGAACACCATACCCTCTACAGACAGATGACATGGCCAGTAGTCTGTATTTCACACTTGCAAATGAAGCTGCAAAGGATTTCCCAGCCCTGCCTGCCCACACTCACCAGGGTCAGATGCAGGGGCCCAGTCTCCTTGTGCACAGGACGGGAGGACAGCTGCAACTTCTCCCCGGGGCTCTGGTTTCTGCCCCTCAGCGTCCTGGAGCCTCTGCCTCCGGGCCACCTTTGCTGTCCTCCTTCAGGGGCCGCGACCTGGGCAGCTCCCAAAGAGAGGACAGGAAGTAGCCTGCCGGGACAGCATGGGGTGGGAGCAGGGTGCGTGGAAAGGTATGCCGTGGGGGAGGGGCCCTATGGGGCCCTGGGATTGGTGCACCCCAGCTCAGGGCGAGCTTCCAGAGAGCTGGGCAGTCTGCACAGCACCGAGGGTCGGGGCCACACCAGTGCAGGAGGATGAGAAATCAGCATCCAGAATCCAGAAGAGACAAAACGAAAGTAACGGTTGCGGGCGGGGGCGGGGGAGGGGGGGATGGGGCGTGTTTAGCAGACGGGGTGGGGTGGGGGTGGGGAAGCAGGAGGAGAATATCTGCTTACCACAGAAAGGGACAAACACGGGGTCTGGACAGCCCAGGATACGGCTTGTTAAGTGCCCAGGCTGTTAATATAAATTGATTCATAGATTCATTTTATATCTCAAGAGACCAGTTGAGAAATAATTCACTGTTCACGATTGTAATCCCTATAACCGAGAGGTTGGCAGGAGGATTGGGGTTTTGGTGACTGAGCTAAATCTCAAACTCTATCCCTAAAGAACAAGAAGAGGAGGGGGGACTCAGTGTAGACTGTGAACCTGCAGTCAGATGGTGCAGTGTGTGCAGTACAGGACACTTCACAGACCACAAAGGTCAATGTTGAAAACAAGTCAGTTTCCTCCTCTAATAGTCTCTGTAACATTCCAGCGTGAATGGGGGAGGGTCACAGGAGCCCTCCCCTCCAGCTGAGGAGCTATGGACAGTTGATGACTGCCAGGAGAGGGAAAGTCGGTTTTCTTCAGTAGTGTGGTCCTTGGTGTGTTGACTATCCAGGGGATGATTCTACTCCATGTGTACATGGGCAGCACTGACTGGACTCGGTGGTCATTGAAGAAGGGGAGGGAGAGGGAGGGGGAGGGAAGGAGAGGAAGGGGAAAGGAGGGAGGATGGAGGGAGGGGGACTTCAGGGTGAATTCTGTTGTAAGGTAGCAGTGGAGGGTGAGTGAGGCCCAGTATGATTAAAAACATCCTTTGTATGAAGTTCTCAAAATTCTCAAGGAATAAAAATTATGAAAGTTTTTTATAGAGTTAATTTTATTAAACTATAAAATACACACAGAGAAAGTACAGGCTGGGCAGTGGCCCGACTCTTTAAGCATGAGGACCTGAGTTCAGATCCCCAGCACCAGGTGAAAAGCCTGATAGTAGGAGGGGGAGCCAGGGGAATCCCTGGGGCTTGCTGACCAGCCATTCTGGATGAATCCCTGGTTCATTCCTCAGGCTCAGGGCGAGAGTGAGGATAACATTATTGTTGACCTCCACAGGGATGCACACACACATACAGCCACACATACACATACATACAACATTATAGAAAATCTGACTAGACAGCTTGATGTACATTTACAATGTGACATATTTGTATTCGTGAAACTCGGATTTTTTTTAATAGTACTTCAGAAGGAGGAACAGGAGCATACACCTATAATCTCAGAACTCAGCCTGAGGTCCAAGGTTTGCAAATTGAAGGACAGCCTGTGCTACATAGAGGATGCTGGCCAGCCTGGGCTACAAAGTGAAACTGCTTCTGCCCTCTACCTTGCAAACAAAAGAGCAGAAAGAAAAGAGAAGAGGGAGGAATGGAGGACAGAGGTGGGGGGAGAGGAGGGAGAGGGGAGAGAGCAGCAGTGAGACACACAGGAAAGACAGAGGACCACAGGGCTTCCCTCAAGCTCCATCATGGCCACTCTTTCCAAAGGTCAGCGTGTTCTTCCTTCTGTGTGTTTGTTGTCTACTTCTAGTTAGTTTTTACTTCAGTTGTGTAGTAGTACTGGTACCTAACCCAGGTCTCCAGGGCTCCAGGCCTGCCCCGGGTATGCCAGAGTTACATCACCAACAGATGGTTGTGAGTGTCCATGTGAGTACTGGGAATAGAACCCAGGTCCTCAGGAAGAGCGTACTCTTAACCATGAAGCCATCTCTCCAGCCATGGCTGAGAGCTTTTAAAATCAATTCCAAGCATACACTTTCTTGTTTGGCAGGAAAACAGTACCATGAAAAGAATCCTTTCACTTTCTCAGAAAATAAAACCCATGCAATTGCTTCAGAATATTGACATTCATTTGTTTTCTTTGTAAATCATCATCATCATCATCATCATCACTATTAGAATGTGCGTGTGTGTGCGCGCGCGCGCGTGTGTGTGTGTGTGTGTGTGTGTGTGTGTGTGTGTGTGTGTGTGTGTAGAGAGGGGGAGGAGGCAAACACCACATACAGATACCCTTGGTTTCAGACTGCACCGTGGAGCCCAGAGGGAACTCTGAGGGAAGAGGTGAGGAGCCAGGGTTGGTATGTGAACATCCTGCACAAATAGGCTCCTATGCTAAAATGTCAGTGCCTGGAAGGCTCGTGTGCTAAAACATCAGTGCCCAGAGGCCTCGTATTAAAATGTCAGCACCCCAGGTTGTGTGCTGAAATGTAAGTGCCCAACAGCCAGCACCATTTTTAGGGTTTCTGGAGTTTTTAGGAGTTGAAGCTTCAATGGAGGATAAGGTAGGCAGAGGAGTGATATTGGAAGTTGTGACTCCATCCCCAATCCCTTCCTCAGCTTCTGCTACCTGTCTCCCACACAGCTGGCTCTCTGATCTCACTATGGTCCCTGGATCGATGAACCCAATGACTGGAGTGAAATCTCAGAAACTGTTGACAGAAACGCGTCCCCATTAAGTCCTTCTCCCAGGTGTTTGGACACAGCCATGAAAAGGCAAAGAAGAGGACAGTGCCCATGAGAAGCAGATGTGAACAGCAGAACTGGCAGTGCTGTGAATCTCAGCACTCAAAACGGAGCTTCATCTTTCCTCAAAAGTGCCTTAGTTTATAGCCCTCTATTTCAAACTAGAGGGGACATTTAACATGAGAAGGAGGTCACCCAGGGCTCCAAATGCAAAGAGGCATCCAGGAATCAGAAAACATGGAGCTCCCTGGGAGCTGCAGTGAGAGTGTTTTGAGCCAGCCACTGTTGTACACACCTGTAATCCCTGTAGGCAGGAGACAGAGGCAGGAGAATTGCCATTAGTCTGAGACCAGCTGGGACTACATAGCTAGAACTAGGCCAACCAACAAGACTGTCTCAAAAAAAAAAGTATTTTTTACAAATTGTGGGAACTGGTATGGTTTCCAAGTCAGAGACATGCAAGAAGAAAAAAGAAAAACTAGAAAAAGAAATTTATTACAATAGTTTTTGTGTTCAAAGTTATTAAAGAAACAAAAACGCAGCTATAAAAGGATTTAAAGTCCTATTTTAAAGCTTTTTCAAGATTTATTTATTTCTTAATAAATAATTTTTAAGATTTATTTATCTCATTTTATGAATATCAGATTTTGCGTGCACGTATGTACATGCACCTTGTGCATGCCTGGTGCCCATAAGAGCCAAATAAAAGCATCAGATCCTCTAGAACTGGAGTTAGAGAGAATTTTGAGTCACCACATGGCTTCTGGGAACCAAATCCTGTCTAAGAGCAGCAAGCGCTCTTAACCACTAGACCATCTATCCAGCCCTACCCATGATTTTTAAAGTCGTAAGTAGTCAAAGTCCTTTCTATCCTGATGGAAATATTTTATTGAGAAAGTAAACCTGCTGTATGAGACCAGAGACTGACACACAGGATCCCAATCCTTAGGGCATCAGAGAGGCCCTGTCTCCAGGCCTCCTAGGACAGATTTCCCTTAGTGGGATGGAAGGAAAGAATGCAGGAACTGGTTATTGTGGAGCAGTAATTAGTCATGTGCATTAGCATGAGAGGATGGCTTTGCTGACAGGAGTTTGGTTTTCCTTTGTTCTAACTGGGAATAAGAATTAAGATCATGTGACAAAGACAGTCAAACCTTTGACTGGTACCCAGCATGCCTCTCACCGTGATTCTGTCCTGCCAGACAGTTCATCAGGTAGGACTTCCCTGTTTGATACAATCCAACAATAGCCACGACTACCACTGGCTGCAAAATCGTGTCCAAGATCTTGATGGCTTTCTGGTTCACAGACAGCTGCTCCTTGAAGTTTTCCACCAGACAAATGGGAGCCATCATTTCTGGTCTGGCCATAGCCACTTGCCAAGCTAGAAGAATCTGCAAGAAGAATACAAAGTTAGTCTCCACCTCAGTGTTACTCCAGCCATAGTTGGCTTAGGACTGATGACATTTATACATTTCTATTGGCTGTGAATAGACACAGAGGACGTTCTCCTCTTTCTCCATCATTCTTCCAAAGTTCTCAAGAAGATTTTGGTAAGACATGGGCTGCCATCATCTATAAAGTTTTACTTCAGTGTGATAAAACCCAAACAGCGGTTACCTTCATTAAGGTCTTACAATATGCTAAGCATTGTAATGAATGCCTTTAGCATGTGACCTCCCACAATCTGTAAGTACCTACTAGTTATGGATTGCTGTACACTGTCAATGACATAAGTCAGTTTCCAAAACCTTAAGGACCCAGCAAAATGGCAGGCCCGTGGGTTCTAAGCCCTTGTTTCCTCTGTGAATAGATTTTAAAATGGCTGAAAATGCATAGGAGCTTTGAAAGACACCCGTGAATTACACAAAAACTAAGATGTCCAAGTGAATAAACAGTGTGAATCACATGTGTGTTTACGTGACTTTTCACTGCCTAGCCCTACCCCCAACCAGACACAGATCCTGTCTGCAGGAAGCAAAGCAGACCTTAATTGCAACAGGCTAACTGGGGGCTAACCTGGTGTCTGTTTTACCTAATTTGGACTTCAAGTAGGGATTATTTCTTGAATATGATACCAAAATCTCAACATGAGTGAATAAATAGATAAAATCCACTTTGTAAAATTAAGGACTTTTGTGCACAAAAGGATTTATAAAAAGAGTATAGAAAGGCAACCCGAGTGGGTGAAGAGTACTGTAAATTACATATGTGATATAAGATTAAACAAATTTAAAAAGGTTATCTTAAACAAAGAACATCTGCAATTCACCATAGACAACTCAATTTCAAAATGGGCAAAACACTGGATTAGGCATTTCTCCAAAGAATGTTTACAAATGGCCATAAACACACAAGATAATATTCAATATTGTTAATTACTCTGTAAAAGAAAACGCTAAAATTTTAAAGAATTTATTTGAAAAAGATGCAATATACAAACTGGGAAGTATCAGACTGAAAGATAAAGTGTCTACATTCTAACAATGACTCGTCAGTCAGCTCTATTAGGAAAACGTGGGAGCAAAATGAAGAGACTTCAGTTACTCAAGTTCTGTCTTAGAAGACTGGGACCTGGTGTAAAAGTCTACAGTCACGTGATCTCCTGTGGTCTGGCTTCTTATACTTCACTGAGGTTGAGTCTTGCTTCTGGCTGACACACATATTTACCTGAAATCGCTTGTTTGGTTTTGCTCCTGTTTGCAGTTTAAGCAAGAGTGAGGTTACTTTAAGACCTACTTGGTTTTGTTGCTCATAACCTTTCAAACGCAGTCTGCATTATAAGAGGCTTTAGGAAACACTGAGGAAATAACACTCAAAACCACAAGATGTCACTTCATACCCACCAGGACAATGACTACACAAAACAAAAACAAATAAATGTGAACCACATTTTAAAAAACATATATATATATATATATATATATGTGCACTGCAGCTAAGAACAGAGAATTATAACACCTCATGGAGAATAGACTTGGTGTCTTATTAATGAATAATAACATTTGATCTGAGAACTCTGCTGTGATTACATGCAACACACAGATAAGGGCTTGAACAGACCTTTGAGCAGCAATGATCATGGCAGCCATATTCACAACACCAAAATATGGAAATGACCCAATCTCTCACCAACAGGTCATCTACAGATGTGTAGATTAACACAGTGAGATAGCCCACACGATAGAATATTATTCAGCCAGAGAAAGGAATAAAATTCTACTTTGAACTGCAACATGGATGAGCCTGAGGACATTATGCCAAGGAAAGAGAATGTGCAGAATCCTGAGATTTTAGGTAACAGGAGACATCACAGGTTCTCTGCAACTTAGTCCCATATACGAGAATAAGATCATAGCATGAAAATGCATAGAATCTTATATGGTTTATAAATCTCATACACCCTAAACATCAACGAAGAGGATTCTGACTATCTACTTATGCTTAAGAAAAGTTAGTGAGATAGAAACTAAATTTATTTTAAATTGGTATTGGCCAAGCCCTTGTGCTGGAATTTTCTCATTTGATTCCTACACAGACAAGATGCTCTTCTGACTGCAGTTGCCTGTGAGCCTGGCCAGGGACACTGTGTCTGTGGTCCCAGCTAAGGCAGGCAGGCTCCCTCCCAGGGCTGTTCCCACAGCACTTGCCTGTGGTCTGAATTGAAGCTGCCAGAGCAGGGGTGCCTGGACTGTCAGGCTGCCACTTTGCATCTGTCACTTATCAAAGGAAAGAAACTGAGCTTCACAGACCTAAAGCCAGCCACAGACCCCTGCAGACCAGACAACACAAACCAGCCTCTCTGACCTTCCCTCAGCCGCCACTTTGAAAACCAAGTCCAGGTTCCAGACTAAGTTGCTCCTGAAAGGAAGAAAAAGTAAATATCCCTGCTTCCCATACCACAGCTGCAAGCACTTTCCTACCTCTGGCTTCCTATGCTCCTCTTTTTATAAGCCGACCCACTTCCACCACACACACACACAGACACACACACACACACACACACACACACACACACACACACACACACACAGGAAAAAAATCACATGCTGCAGAAAAAATAAAACTGAAAGTAAAGTACTCCCAAGCCCTGTTGACTTAACCAAGATGCTGGAGGGCGGGAGAGCCAGTGAATTACTCTGATGGCTGAGGGACCCACTGTGGAGAGCTTTTACATTCTCTTTCCCTGAAACCCCTCTCCAGTGTCCTTGATACAGAAAAAACTACAGTAAACCTGAGGCACCACCTAAGGGAAGTTCCACAATCCAGGACTGATGCAAGCATGTTTCTCTCACTGGAAATTCCCATGCTTCCTTAGCGAAGAGCTGTAATGTTTTTAACACGTCTTCTGAAACAGAAACCATTCATCTCAACACGGTTTTTAAAAGAAGCAACTAGAAAATACTAAGAAGGGTCAGCGAGATAGCTCATGGGGAAGCGCTCTGCAGGCTGCAGCTGGACGAGCTGGTGACACTGCTCCATCTGTGGACCCATGCCAAGGTGGAGGAGAGAACTGACTCCACAGAGCTGTCCTCTCACCTCCACATGGGTGTCCCGGCACGTGGACACACAGCAATAGACACATTTGAGAAAAGAAAAGAAGTAGAGATAAAATGAATAGCCTTAACTGTAATAGAGAGAAATACTCACTGTTGCCCTTTTGTCTAAATTCTTATGTTTCCCCACTACACAGACTCTGCCCTTTCTGCAGAAATGTGGCTAGTTGGCCCAGTTTCAAAGGCATTTAGCCAGAGGAGAAAGCTGTTGAGTGTGTGTGTCTGTGGAGTACAGACATGAACTAAGTGTACAGTAGGAAGACGGTGGGTGGGGTTGGGAAAGCCCAGGGACGTCACACTGTGGAAGGAGAGCATTCATGTCCCTCTGCTTCTCCGTGAGTCCTCCCCTCCTCCTGCAAACGGTGAAGCAGCATCTTAAGGCTGCCTTGCAGATCCATGGCTAGAGTGTCCATGTGTCACTGCGAATGAATGGGGGTAACTGCTGCCTACAAGATTTTATTTTTGAAACAGACTCACTTTCCTTTTGACCTTTGATTTCTGTTTATATGATGCTATAATGTGTAGAAAGTTGTCACTATTCCAGGTATTATTATCTTACAGGTTACCCAGTAATTCAAATCCAGAGCTCTATTTCAATAGAATAATGTACAAAATATTTTTTTTCTTAAAGAAGAATTAGAGAGAGAGAGAGAGAGAGAGAGAGAGAGAGAGAGAGAGAGAGAGAGAGAGACTATTTCTTCTTCCTATTTGGTTTTCATCCATGTGAGTTCTTACTGGATACCTGAGCTATCCACCCCCATGTCTACACAACTCATAATCTATCTCTGAATAACATACAGCTGTTCAGAACTCTAAGATAAGCGAAAGATAGATATGCTGATGAAACATGGTCAGCTGTAACACAAAAGAGGCTGACTTGGACACAGGGCACCTGCCCCGGTCTGCAGGACCCTTTGAAACAGCGAGGAAGCCTAACATCTGTGTGTAGCATGTGACCTTCAGCTAGCTTGGGTGGGGTAGATGAAGGTGAACTTTGTAAACACAGACTTTGAGCAGATATCTGCCAGCATTTTCTAGATGCAGCCTGCCCACTCTAAGCAGGGATTAAGGAACAGCAGTTTCCTCCTGTGTGTCAGAGGAAAGCGCTTGCACACACTGCCATCATGTGGCAACTCAAAATGACTGTCTTGAAGAATTTATTAAGATCAAGATGGAATTTATAGGAATCCATGTTATCATGAACAATTTATAACATCATAAATATGAATTATATAACAAAGTAGAGGTTATAATCAATTGGAAAAAGCTACTTATACAAACAAATCACCTGTACATAGTGGTAACGTTACCTCTATATTTCCTAATAGATATGTCGGGCACAATATTCTTTAAAGGGAAATGATGGAGCAGGGATAAGGCCTTCAACTCCAATGGCATGATATGTCTTCAATTGGATTTTCCGTCTAAGAAAGAGACGTGAATGTATGTACTATTTGGGAAGCTATGGCAGGAAGCGAGTGTGTGATATAAGAGGGAAATGGAAACTGAGGGGCATTGGAAAGCCAGGGGGGTGAATCACTGATCTGTAACCATCAGGGGCCTCTACATCAGTCCCAACATGGACAGACTGAAGATTTACTCAGAAAGTCTTCTGAGATTCCCTCCCGGTTGGTTGGTTGGTTGGTTGGTTGGTTGTTTTTGGTGGAGACAGAGCCTCACTCTGTAGCCCAAAAACTGTCCTGGTACTCACTATGTAAACCATGTTGGCCTCAAACTCCTCTTGCCTCAACATCCCAAGTGCTGGGATTACAAGTTTGAGGACCCATGCCAGACTCAAGATTGCCTCTTTTTAAGACAAAGTAGAGTTCTGATCCAAT